CTAACAAATAACGGAAAAAATACACAGTAAAATTACTCTATAGGATGAATCATGCTCAACCTTTGAAAGATCTTAACTGGTGCCCTTTTCCTAACATACTGGCATTTTGTACAATTATTTTTGTTTAAAAATTTGTATAATGATAATTGTAATAATGTTATTAACATCTATACCTGCAATAATGTAGAAAGTATGATGTATTTCAGATTTTTTTGTTTCCACTTTTATAGTGACTGAAACGTAAAATCAGGATGTTTCACAGGCATGTGCAAGCACAAGAACTAACATCACTTAATTGACATGTAACATGCTATTGTGTTTGTATTCCAAAGGATTATAAAATAAAACCAAAACATAAATTTCCAGAGATTGTGGATTAAAGACCGCTTTTGTTCTATTTTTCTATGTTAGATGTAACACACTAAAAAAAAGTTAGTAATGCCTTTTTCTTGACCCGTGGAAAAGAGCAAAAAGCTGTTTGCAGCTGTTTTACTTATCAATTTCTTATGCTGCATTTTTGTCACTTGTATTCCCATCTATACTATTTTAAATTTTCTACTCCTTTTGTTCTTGCATAACTATTTTAGGTAGTATACATCAATCCTGTACTTGAATGGTAAAGCTTATTAATTAAAGTAGTAAGTTTCACTGTTTATATTATCTCAATTTTTTTAATTGCCTTGGCTTCTCAGAACCCTGAAAACACCAGCCCACATCTGAAAAGATCCTTTGCCAAGTAGGCATTTAAATATATGGATTACAAAAGGTGTCACTGCAATGAAGGGAGTTAAGTGCTTTCAAAAATCCCATTAAATTCTATATCAATTATAATTAAAAACCTGCTCTTAGCAGAATTAGATAGCCTCAAGCTAAGAAAGACTAAATATTTAAACATGTTTATAAAAATATCTCTCTATAAAAAAAATATCTTTCTTGACATACTCATTTTATCTCTCCTCCACAAGTTCTGAGCTCAATCAGCTAGCTCTTTTTACTGGAAGTTTTAAGATAACAGACCTTACTAACACATACGACAAATACAAATTTTAGGTAGTATAGACACTTCATTTTTAAATTCTGTCAGAAACCAAACACACACACTTACTTTTGAGACTTTAGATTTTTTTTTATTATTTTTTTTTTTCCGACAGCTTGCCTTTGGACAAGTTAATTAAAAGAGAAACTCTCGGATGATCTGATGAAACAGATAATAATAAAAAACTAGGACATATCTGAGCAGTGTTTTTCTCCTAGTAGGAAAAGGTTTCTGAAGAGCAAGGGCAGGAAAGTAGACAGGGAATAGAAGAGTGTTAATCTTAAAGCAATTATTCCTTCTGGGTATTTATTCATCTATTCTGAAGAAGAATTTGTAGAGGGTAGAGCTTGGAGAGGTTCTTTGGAGCCCCGAGACCAATTTTAGCCTCAATTACTTTTGAAAGAAGTTTTAGAGCAGGAAACCATTTCTGCTCCAAGCTAAAACTTTCGGACAGAATCCCAGATACCAGCTATAAATTCTGTTCATGTTTGTGGAAATACACAGTGCAGAGCTCCCTTTTTAAACTAGATCCATAGAAGCTTTTTCAGCAGTTACCTTGCAGACAGGTTCCCAAAGAGGCCTTTGTACCTTGTGAGCCTTTCCACAGCATGTCCAAGGGCCAATAGACACACGCCTTTCTCTGAGGTTCTCCCCTCTCCTGCAACTCATGTATCTGTACTTGTCTTCCTATTAAATTTTGCCTTTCTTAAGTGTTACTGCTTTTCTACTTTAAATTTTTCTACCTGCTTCTCCTTGTTTTATCTTCCTCTGCAGCTCCCTTCTCTTTTTCTTAGATGATCCTCTTTCTCACTTTTTTATTCCTTTTCATTCTTGATTTCTTTTTTGCCCCTAATTTCATCTGTTCTTTTCCTAGGGAATATCTTAGCTCATATTATAAGCACAGTTTAAGTGATACATTTTTAAAACTGGAAGAGATGGCTGTGTTGGAAAAAGCATACAACTTTGGACCATAATTCCTGCTAAAAAAAAAACCTTTGCTGAGAGGATGCTTGTGGTATCACTTTTGAGTTCAAGTAATACTGAATCACTGAGCATACCATTCACAAAAGTATCTGGCACAAAGCCCCTGTAAAGACTAAGCCCCAATAAAGCTGAGCAACAACTGTTTCAGCCCAATAATGCTCCTCAACCACATGTGAAAAGAGGGAATACAGACATAGGCAGTTGAGAAAGATATAGGCTATGTAAACAAATGGCAAACACATTTGAGACTAGCTATGTGCAAGTAGTTACCAGACAAGAAAAATTTAAAGTCTCAGTATATTTCAAAATTGGCAGAACAGATCTGGGCAACTAACTTTTAACTGGACCATTTCTATAAGAGGCAACGTTTCATTCACAGAGGACAAAAAAGGCATGTTGTTCTACTGTGTACTAAGAAAGTGTAAAATCCTGTGATCCAGCCTGGAGCAGGCAGATTTGCTGAAAACCTCTGGATAACAGCAGACCATTAACAGAAAGACAAACTACATAATTCCTTTCCTTTTTTTTTTTTTTTTTGAGAATAATGTCATGTATGGGCAGGGCTTTTTTACTTATCTTTAACAGGGGTATAAAAATCTAGATAAATGTATAGCTGTTTGTCCTGCTATATTTCCAGTTAGTTAGAAATATGGCTTTTAGAAGTTTGAAAATGCAAAAGTAGAGAATAATTTGGGCAACTGTATTCATGAAGCACATAGTTCATGATCCTTTGTAACAGCAGAATGAAAGTAAATTATTTCAAAAAAGAGATTCCCTGAGAAATAGGATAAAGTGAAGGTAAGGGGATCTTTAAGCATGTTGGTAATTTTTCCTGCAAGAAAACTATAATTTCATGGAAGCATAATCAGAAAAAGCAAAGGAACAAAAGTAAAGAGCTATAAAAGAAAATACAGCAAATGTGTTTACACTTGCATTATTTGTACTACATTGATCAAAGAAACAATTAATCCACAACACCATGTGGGTGGAAAGCTATTTTCTCTAAGTATTACTTCTGTGTGTAGATAAAAATAAGTTGGCTCAGATGTGAAACCATTGAGAAAAAGGCTATTATTTCCTCAAGATGTCAGGTTATACAATAAAAGCTCATCTATACACCCACAAAGATTCTCAGAGAGACAATGGCTACTGCCAGGCCCACTACATGAGCCATCTAAGGCCAATCTGCACCAGCCCAGAAGAACACAAGTCTTCAAGGACTCCCAAACAACACTAATCAGCTGTTGTTTTATTTTGGAGAAATTAATTTGAATATTAGTATAAGAATAACAGTGCATTATCCTCATAGTTACTTCACTGGAGAAAAAAAAAAAAGAAATAAAAAAAGAAAGGAAAAAGAAAAAAAAAGAGAAAAGAAAAGAAAAAATAAGAGTTGAAATTCAAACTTCCCTGTGAAAATACAGTCAGGTAATTTTTAGAAGCTTACACACATGCACATTACTGGTAAGCGTATGCAAAAGCTAACAGTAAGTACAAGGATGACTTTCAACAAGGCATAATACCATATTTTACACACCAGTATTCAACCAAAAGGTACTTGGCTTACAGAATCAACAAAGCCAAAAATTAGGACAAAAGGATAGACAGCAATTGCTTCATAGCCTTGAACACGAATCTGCCTTCATCTAATTAATGTGAAACACAACTACAAAAGTATAAAATTTACCAGGTCAAGCATTAAGCCATGAACAAGAAAAGATCAAAACAAGTGTACTATATTGTTCATTTACTTAAAGTACTTAAAATTTGTGCTCCAGATTTTTATTCTGCAGAGATATTGTTAGCAGAGTTATATCACACTTCATTAAACTGACAGACTGAAACATGATAGAACAGGTTAGTTTGAAACTGTGCAAGCCCTAAGACCATCTGAAGTGATCAAATGACCGTATTTTCAGATTTCTCCAAGGTGTGGATTGTAAACCTGCTACATTCAGAAATACCAGGACTTGAAAATAAAACCTCACCTTTTCATCCTAAGGTGACCCACACAGAATGAAGGATTTAAAAGAACAAGTGACTTTTGGGAAAGCACTTTTAACACTTTTCCAAGGGTTACACAAAAATACAACAGTTCTTTTGCAACATTAGATCAACAGAGATTTAACTTCAATATAAGCAAGAGGAGTGAAAAAGAAAAATAAGATTGAAAAAAATAGGACTGAAAGACTTTCAGTAGCCTAATCTACCATTCTGCTTCAAGTCATGATTTTCTACATCTGAATCATTCTCCTAACACATTCTCCAAGACTGATAATGATGGAGATTCCAAAATATCTCAGTTATTCTTGCTATTTATTAACAACAAATAAACAATAACAGCTATAAGTTACTATAGCCTGCATAGAAATCTAAAAAAAAAAGAAAAAAATTCTTAAAAAATCATTTTCTGGATGACCTTTATGTACTTGAAAACTCTGGTTTCCTCTGTAAATTAGTCAAAATGCTTAATTTATTTATTAAGGATGACAGGTAACGTATTTCATTATTTATGTCACCAACACCAAGACTTGCATATCTTCAGCAGTTTCACAACAGTTAAGTAACATTTATTTATGAAACTGGATGAGAAACATCTGCAGCCCTTCTAAAAAATTCAGTGTATGCCATTGATTAATAAAGCCCTTAATAATCCAGCTTCACCTCTGAATGATCCTAAGTTACAACATTGCACCATATAAGGTAGCAAGGGTGGATGTTTCAGATGAGGGAAGCATGGAAAAATTATCCTGTATGGGAAAATTAAATGCATCCAGAAATTGGTGCCAAGGAGTGAAGCTGGGTGGCTTAGCTTACATCCTGGATTTTAAGTATAAGCTATAAATACCCATATACACACAAAAAACATTCTGTCTGTTAACTACTATAAGTAAAAACTCGGATTTAAAGGATATAGTTGTATTCACATTCACTAGCAGTGCTCTGTACACTGTAAAAACTAAAAGCATCAGATATTTACCTGAAGTTTGGAAAACCTCATTCAGTAAATGTTCATTCACCACCACTGAACTGACATGTTCAACAGGATGACACCAACTCTGATAAATAGTTTGAAGCAGAAGGGTTTGAGCTCTGGTTGCTTGAACGGTCAAATTAGGGAGCTCAAAAATGCATTCTGTTAGTGGGACATGAGCTCGCTTGGTCCTGTTTAATATGGAGAAAAAAAAAGGAAAATCAATACTCTGGTGCATAAAAATAACAATTTTAGAACTTAGTCACAGAATATCAAACTATTAGCAGTTAGTTTGTAAGGTTGGAACTGAATGCCTATTGGATTTCTTCTTGTAAGAGCTGATTCTGCTTATACTGAAATGAAACCTAAATAGGACCTGTTGCAGAATTTGACTTTATATCTCTCTCCAAAACATCACAGGAAAAATCATATACTTTTATCTAATTATCTCTTGGTTTTAAAATACTTAATAAAAGCAATTCCACGTGCTCCCACCAAAACAAGAGCTATTCAAAATTATGCAGTTATTAAAAACACAAAAAACATCTGTTCAAAAATTGAATGTTATGAATTTTTTTATTTAAAAATATTATAGTTAATCACTAAATGAGATACAGCCAGTGACCCAAAAAACATATAGAGAATATTCATACATGAAAATACAAAAAGGCACATATTCCATATTTCACTGACATAGTGCTCATTAAGTGACTATACTATTTTTCAGTGCCTTTCAGTGAAAGCTTTTTTTGTTTGGTTTGGGTGGATTTTGTTTGTTTTTAATAGGAGTCACAGATACCAAATAATGACCTAGAACAAAAGTTACATGTGCCCTGTTTGGGCGAACTGTGCACCTCCCACCCGCCTTTTCTGCTGACAGCCAGGTGAAGATCTGCAGAAAACCACCTTGGCTCAGACAGCCAAAAGGAACAAAGAGCCTGGAACTTATTCTGACCATCTCTACCACACAACATGCACCAGAGGACACACGAAGATCACTGTCTTGTGGATACAGTCAAATAAAACAGGTCTCCCGTTTCAGCTCCTCTTCAGATACACAAACGACCCTCTGTGCAAATGTATCTATGTTCCTATAAAGCCTCAAAGAAAAACTCTGGGTTCCATGAAAAGCACAGGTGGAGACTACCACACTGTGACCTTTCCTGATGTTCATCTCAAGTTAGAATTTGAACTTGTTTGCCTAAAATTTCCTAGAATTTAAGTCCAAGCTTGGTAATCTATCAAATTAAGCAGAAAAGGTACGCTTAAGCAAAGAAGAATTTAAGGTAATTCTGTACTTAGGCAAATCCATTCCTGTAAAACAAAATGGTATATACATTATAAATAATTTAGTTTAAAACTCAACATTAAACAGACAGCACAACCCATTTCTTTTACATAGAACTGAAGTTGGACAACTAACTATGCATGTTCGCAAAACCTCTGCAGGCATTACCTGAAAAGAAATGTGATGCATGGTCATATTCTGGTGTTGGTTTTTTTGTGGTTTTTTTTTTTTTTTTTCAAGACATGTACTGTCATCCTTTATTATTTATCTCATTACAAAAGTACACTGTAGCATTTTTCCTTTCTGGTATTTCTCCTTTTGTTATCCTTCCAGACAACATTTTTTTCTATCTTTCCCCTCTTACTTCTGAATACTATTTTGCAGAATTAAAACTAAGTATTACAGAACAAAGTGTCTGAATATTTAAAAAGACCGGTTCCCTAATGTAAAGGCAAGGATGTAAATGGGAAGGAAGAAAGTAGATGGAAAACATTTTTCAGCAAAATTTAGGACAAACATGATTCTGCAAAAATTCCATCTCAAATAGCAATTTTGTATTAACAAATTCATGTACTTTAGAAGGAAACTGAGGAGCTGTGACAATCACAACACAGAATATGGTACTGGAAAAGATTTTGCTTAAAAAGTTTGACTATTCAACTAATACATATTACAGCTACTGTATGACCTGTGCTACATTCAAAACTGTAAGTTTCACATAAAATAGTCCCTTAGGAGTAATAACAGTGTATGAATTTTTTTTAACAATATGCAAATCCTACACTTACTGTACTTTAACAATCCCATAGGAATAAAGTCCCATGTTTTTTTCAGGTAACTTGGGGGGAATGGGAAGTTAAAAAAAAATCCTTTTTTATAGAAAAAAAAAAATCAAGGCAGGGGGAAGCATTGTACCATGTGTGCAGCAAATGTTGCTTAAAGGAAATTTTAACTAGACCTGGCTAGTGATGAAAGTACAATTATAATTCAGGATTTATTACAATAGTTTTGAAACACAAACAATGCATTTAAAAGATTTTAAAATATAAATTTGCTACCAAACTGCACCTGTTAATATAGAAAATATATCATTAATACGGTATTGAGCTATATTTAACCAAGTTTTTATGACCCAAGAGATATATTCAAGCAGTAAGTCAAAATAAAAGTACAAATAATTTTTTTCAGTAAACCAAGTGCGATCTGAGTTTCTATACTGTATCATTACATTTGTATTAAGCAACAGAATATGACTTCATATCAAAACTCATCACCATATTAAAACAGTTATGGCACATAGTTGGAGTCTAAAACCGCTACTTAAACATCATTTTAAAACTGCAACAGCAATAGAAATAATTGTTTCTCAATCTTTACACTCAAGAGTTAAGATGCATTTCTGAACATATGTTCATTTAACTGAACAGGTTAAAAAACTACCAATTCAAACACTCTTCTCTAGGGGAAAATAAATCCTAATGTAACTAGCAGGATAGGCTACTCATTAAAGCTGAACTTGGACAAGTTCCAGAATAAATTTAAGGAAATATGAACAAGCGAGTCTTGCTGTGTAGTGGCATGGAGTGAAAATGAATCTGTCCTAATTAAATGATTTTTAAATACACTTTGGTTGTACCCAGTTTGTTGACAAACTGTAATACAGACTTGCTGAAATATTTGGATAAATCTGGCATACCATTAAAGAAAATAGTTTTCTTCGCTGTTTTTGAATGAAAACATGAATTGGACACCAAGCATAGGCACCCATATAACCAATTCACAGGCCTGTTATGAAATATTTTCAGTTTGTAGACTTTAGGAACAGCAACTCATTCTTGTAAAATCAACACCTCAGAGTGACTGAAAGAATAAAGTGGTGAACAGCTGGGTCCAGAGGTTTATACAGAGTCCCCAACTGCAAAACTGGACCCTGCAATATGTTTGAAAAAATTTGATTTTTGTTATTACTCATATCCTGTACAGTAAAATACGATTAGTTCATTTTTTCCACAATAACAAAACCAGTAACCTGCTACTAGAACCCAGCAATTGTGCCTTAGAAGAACCTGCATGTAATTTAAATGCCCAAATAATTTCAGTCAGCATTTGCACACCTTTCCTCCTAGGTAAACGGAAAGTATATGCTGGTTTTATGTGACATGAATGAAGGCTTCATCTACATACCTACAACAAACTTTTATTTATTTATTTCTACTTAACCTGATGCTTCATATCAATTTGGAGAAAATTACTATTTTGATCCTTTTTCTTAACATTTAAGCAAATATTATTATTGTAAAGGAAACAATGACAAATATCAAACCTCTGACACGAGGAGAGGGAACTGGCTTTACTATTGTTTTAAATGCAAAACTGAAGTCACTGCTACTCACAAAAAAACCCAAAACATATCATGTCCACATATACTAACACAATTTTCAGTCTTCAGTCAGCAACATACAGTTATTCGTGCCAGAGGGTCAAGTTAATTTTTATTTAAAAAATAATTAAACTGGCTTTAGAACGCTTCGTTCCAAAAACACCTCAAAGATTGATGTCTTCAAAACTTCTTCTGCTCTTCTACAGACTTCACTAAAAGCTGCCTGACATCTTACGTCAACTCTTACACAGATTAATTTTCAGGAGCTGCAGCTACCTTAGCCTCTTATTTGTAGGAAACACTGCTAATCATACAATTTATTACAAGGGAGAAAACAATGAACTTAAAGGCTCACCACTTTTTTCTTTTTTTTTTTTTTTTCAGGAAATCAAAACATTAATTTAGTATTCCTGGAAATTTCATATATGGAATGAGAAGAGTACAACACTATCATCTTTAAACTGACTACTGTATCATTTTTAAACATTAGTTCTGAAATTTGTCAGTGATGAAAAAAATTTTGTAAAGTATTTAGTCATATGTGAACTTCAAAAAAAAAACCCCTACAGATTTCCTTGAAACAATTGTGCAGACAAAACAATACAGACAGAGTAAAAGCTTCCATATGGCTTAGGAAATGAACAGAGACTATCCATTCTTAATTCTCAATAAAATCTTTGTCTTAATGGAACAATAAAATTTACCTTTACACAGCAAAGCAAAAATGAATAATTGCATATTACAAAACAAAAATAATAAAATCAAACAAATATCTAAAGGACGAAACCTCAAAAAAATCCATTTTAAGCAAAGAATGCAAGACTCTGGACATTCCTGTTAGAGGCTCTAAACTTGGATTTTTAAAAAAACAATTTTGATTTGATATATTTGGATATTAAAAGTTATGATCATTAGAGATTACAAATTATGATTGCTGCATGCAAATAATTATACTGGTTTGTGAAGAAACAAGGAAGTGAAAATCAGTGACCTTAGTAAGACAGTTATTGTAACTTTACCTGCAATGAAATACCATGAGAAAACAGTGGAAGACTGCAAAAAAACCCCCTGGACTGTGAGGGTAGGAAAGTCCTAATTTTCACCAACCTAATTCCAGCCATACTAAGCATGAGATGAGTCTTTCCACCCACTGGATTAAAAGTTTAAGAAAGGAGGCAAGAAAGCAGTCTATGTCCACTTCTAGTTAGGTCATAGCCTATGTGCCACAAAATGCAACAGATCTGAACTAAAAATCTGCTGATACCAACAAGGGATTGGGGGTTTTCAGTCTTGTTTTTGGACACATGATAAACTAAGGTGGCTGTTGAAACTTTCATGCAGAAGCACGTTAAACCTGCAGCTGCACTAAAGAAACATTTAAGTATTTAGGATGTTAGATCAAATTGAGCTTACTAGCTCATCAATGGGGAAGATGCCAGAGACCTGAACACCCAACAAATTGCAAGTGAGGGTCAAGTGAATTGCTATTTCTTTCTCCGTAAAAAAATTCCATTTCTAATAAT